AGTGACACCATTCGCCGTTTGGAACGATGTAGACTCGCAGTCCATTGCAGTGTCGATGCCGTGCTTGGCGACCTTTTCTAAAGAGATAAGGTCATGTCCGCATCCTGTATCCATGATGAATTTCAACTTCCTGCGAATAAATTCTGGTTGGACCATGCACATGTTCGGGTTCTTCATCAGCTCCTTACGGCTCTCATCGATGTCCAAGGCTCTTTCCTGGAACTTCCCCTTCTTGTTGTCGAACTTGAACACAATCACCTTCTCGGTTCCTGGAATCCTAACTGGTATGCATCCTCCATCTTTGCCCAGACACATATCTTCCATCAATCGAGCTCTAGCCCTTGCTTTGTGCTTCTCGTACTCAACCTCCGAGATGTGGTTTTCGTGCTTCAGGTTCGCTTCAGTGAAAAGTCGTGGGGCGAATCCTCTATCTTTGTGTGATCGCCTCGGCTTCGATGATGCGAACTTCGTTCCCTGTTCAAAGGAAACTTTGAGGTCCTTGACGTCTCTGTGATAAGATCCGATCTCATCGTCGGTGGAGCAATCTGACGCTGCGTCGCCATCAATTGACTCATCGTCAGAATCGCCGTCACCATCATCCAGGGATCGAAGAACAGGTACTGCAGGCAAGCCTCGAATCGCAATCGCGGGTGCGGCAGGTTCAGGCTTATTCTTCTTGTCCTTCGCCTTCGCCTTCGCCTTTGCCTTTGCATTCGCGTCGGTCTCCCCGGTTGCGGGCGCTGCCTTAGCCGGGTCATGCTTGAAAGGGCAATTCTCTCGGCTGCAGGATCCGTTCTTGCTCCACTGAAAGCAAGGTCGTTCCGATGGTTTTGATGACGGGCTTCGCGCTCTCTGGTTCTTATCATCTCGTGAAGACGGCCTTCCTCTGTCCGTGTCTTTGTGACTCCATTTGCAATTCTTTCCTGCATTGCATCCTCCTCCGAAGTGAAATTTGCAACGAATCTTCGCCTTCTCCTTGTCGGTCAGCGATCGTGATGATGAAGGAGATCGGGATCGTTCTTTGCCTTTACCTTTCCCCTTCTTCTTGTCCTTTTCGTGTGCCTTTGCTTTACTCTTTGGGAGTACAGGTGCAGCATCCGCAGCTTCTTTGTCCTTGCCTCTCTCATTCGTCTTCTTCTTCTTGTCCTTGTCTGGCGCGGATGAGGGAGGCCCCTTGGGATCGGGCCTAGCTGGTGCAGCGAGTAGGTCCTTCCCAGCAACCATCTGGTTCAAACCGTGTTGTGTCTCGTTGAGGTTCTTCTTCTCTCTTCTCCTCTGCACCGCCCGGTCCATGATCCTCAGCAGCATATCATGTGACCTCTCTGGATCGTCATAGCTCTTGATGTCATAGTAAAGCTTGAGCTCCATGTTCAGAGGATCCTGATATCTTCTGGTACAAGATGTCGCGGAGGGCATTCGTGGAAGGTACATCTTCAGGTCGAATCCGAGAGATGATCTCTAGCCACGTTGCTTTGAATGCGGCAATCTTGTTGTCACCTGGGTACTGCAACTTGGTCAGGTAGTCGATCGTGTAAACCATGTCAAGTCGATCCCGTGTGCGAAAGCTTTCCATCATCATCGCAATGATCTGTCGTCCCTTTAGAACCTTGTATTCGTTTCCGCGAATGTACGCGTTTGATTTGAGGTTCACCTCTAAGAACAGATCAGCTGCTTGATCTCCGGCATTCCGCAACATGAGGGTCATCGCACTTGCCAGCTTCACGTCGATGCTTCTGAACTTGACGTGTCCCGAGTCGTTGAGCCCTTCAACATCCGGCATCGGCTTGAAAGATTCTTGCAGCCATTTGATCCAGTCGCTTTGGTTGGTATCTGCACACGCGGCCAGAACGTTTGTGGTGACTGCTGCCTGCCAAGCGTCCAAGTGAGTGACCTTGGGAAACGCAGGAATGTTGATCTTGTCGGCTTCTCTTCGGGATATCTTTGGCCCTTCGGTGTAATCAAGTCCATCTTCGGGTCCAGATCCACCGCCACCTCCTCCACCACCACCGTGGGGAGAAGAGTCTGGATCGCCACCACCATCACCTCCTCCACCTCCTTTCTTGATTGGCTTCCAGGATCCAGGGTCGGTTTTGTCTCCGTCCTCTTCTGGTTCGCCTTCCTCCTCATTCTCTTCCTCTTCACCCTCATTCTCTTGCTCCTGTTCTTCGGCAATTATGCGCCATTGATCTCGTTCGCGACGTAGACGAGCTTCGGTGTCTCTCATTCTGCTCATTTCTTCCCGAAGTTCATCCATTTGCCTTTGTAAAGCTTCTTGCTGAACAGCTGTCGAAGCGGTTGCACGAGGATCTTGAGGATGATTGGGAGCATTCGGAGGAATTTCTGAAGCCATTCCAGGCGTCATCTCGCCTGCATGCTGCGAACGCAATGGTTGTCGTTCACACTGATATGACGTGGACGCCTTAGGTGGATCAGCAAGCAACTGTGAGGTGTATGGTCTGGTAGCCAAGCCAGGAGGCAAGTCCAGCAAACCTGTTGCGAACACCCTTCCCGGAACCGTGTTAGGAACTGATGGGTTTCCTGGAACGGTAACAGGAGGTCCACCAAACAGCGATGTCCTTGTAGAAGTCGGTCGGCTTTCTGTCACTGGAATGGGTGGTCCTCCGAACAACGATGGCCTCGTGGGAAGAGCCGGGGGACCCGAACCCTCCTTCGAGGCACCTCCACCCTGGGTATGAGCCGGCGAAGCCGAACCCATCCCTGGAATGGTGTTCTGGACCCATGTCTTGAACCTTGACTCCGTCGTAAATGACATTGGTACGTCGTGATCAACTTCTTCAGGACTGCTGTAGGCTTGGGTTATTCCCGAACGGGATTGAACGCTTTGTGGACGCGAATTATGCACACCTACCCTAGGCACAGAAGAAACATTATCCCACTCAGACGTTCCGGCTGACGTAGGTCGGTTGTACGTTTGAACCTGCCTCGCAGCATCCAGTTCTGACGTCAGTCGTCGATTGATGTCTTCATGAGATTGGCATTCCGTTCGTACCCTTTGCAGCTCCTGATGGATGCCGGGTAACGAAGCATGTTGGCTTTCCCATCGCTGCTCCATTTCGTGCACGGCTTGTCTCAAAGCAGTCGCTCTTTCTTCTTCCTCGTGGTACTGAACGGTGACGCCATGAATGTTCACATTCAAGAGCCTGGTTTGATCGCGTTCATCCTGTAATGCCACGCTCTCATGATGAGCATATTCTCGCATCTCGCTCTTCTGTCTTTCGGATGCTTCACGTGCAAACTCGGAGGTTCGCAGTTGATCTTCCATCTGAGCCACAATGACTTCGGCTTGTTGTAGATCGGCTCGCCTTCTCAGATTTTCATGTGCTCGAATGTTCAGCTCCTCGGTAAGTCGCTGGTATTCTCGAGCTATTGTGTTTCCTTCACCATGGGCAGCTTCTTCCACGTTGACCATGTACTGCGCCATCTCGCGTTGCTGGTGCATCAACTGCTCCTGAGTCATCGTCGCTTGGTGATGATTGTCGGCAGCATGTTGCTCCAGTGTTGCGATCGTGGCACCAACGACTTGCTCACGTTCAGCGAGTGTAGCTTCGTGACGTTGATGGATATGAGCTGCCAGTTGCGCGTTCTGATCTCGTTCGCGCTCCAGCTGCTCGATCCTTAGTGATGCCCCATAGTCTTCCTGTTGCATCTCCTCAATCTTCAGTCGCAACATGGCAATGACCTCTTCCATCTCCCGCCTTTCGCCTTCTTCCCGGATTCGTTCCGCTAGAGGGTTAGCAGACTCGACCGGGGGACCCGAATCAAGCCCGCCCCTACCGCCAGCCGGAGGTTCCGAACTGGGGAGGCCGGTACCCAAAAGAGGGCCACCGAACCCTCTTCGCGGTGACGTTTCCGGTCGTCCGGCGTCCGGCGAGGATCGTGGAGAGATCCGTGGAGAAGCACCTCTTCTTCGTCGTGGAGTACTTGGAGTGTTGGATCTCTTTGATGTTCGTTCCGATGATGGTCTGGAAGTGGATCTGAGGCGTGAAACTTGACTCATCTTCGAGTTTCCATCTTCACGTAACACGCTCAACCCACTTCTAGTTCTAGCGGGTGCCTTCGTAACCGCAACCATCTCAACAGCGTCATCTGATGACGTAACTGCATCTGTGTCGGCGCAGCCTGTGCTTTCGCCCAATGCAGGTGCAGCAATAGCATCACCATCACCGAAGGTCATGGTTGTGTCGGCACTCGACGACGAGGTTGGCAGTGCCATAGCTCAGCCCGTACAGTAGTCGCAAGAAATCGCAACCGCTATACGGCTGATAACCTGCGTGAGGTCGGGTAGTTGCTTGCACTACGCTTTGGCTCCTCACCAGCCAAATGGTCTCGCACTTGTTTTCTGCACTGGCGTTCGCCTTCAGTCTCCGTCTCGTGCACCCGGGCGGTTTCCAGTTACGCTATTGCGCTTACCTCTAACCTATGGGTGACCTTCACTCTAAGGGTTACTTGAGCCAATGTGGTGAACAGGCCACGGCGTTCTAATGTGGTTTCCCCGATGTGCGGCGGAGCCGACACAAAGGGGTCCCCAAAACGTGCTGTGGTTCGGGGATCATTCACATTTAGGGCTTAGGGCAAACACTGTGGTTTGCGGTTTTGGTTGCCACCCGCCAGGCAGACCAGCCACACTGAAGCTGAAGGGCAAGAATTTCGGGATGAATGACGACACACCACCACTTTTGAGGTTTGGAGTTTAGGGTTTATGGACAAATTTTGTGCTTGAGGGCCTTCACTGCCTGGAGGGTTTTAAGTAGGGACATGCTAGATGTCTTCTCCCTTGGCCAAAACCTGGTGCCCGAAACATCCCTAAACCCTGAGCATCCCGTTAGTTTAGTTTAACCAAGGCTTTTTGCACCCTCCCCGGCCCCAGCCCCCCCGTCAACGCCTCTCCCCGTGAACTAGCAGGCTGAGTGAGGGTAGAAAGAAGGCCTGAGCCCTCAACCCTAAACCCTAAACCATCCCCCTCTCGAAAGTCGCGCGGCCCAATGGGCAGGTCCCGAGATCGCCTCCGGCTGCGCACCTCTGGGATACTTGCTCTGTAGGGTTTTCAGGTATGACTCGGCATGTAGGGTTTAGGGTTTAGGGTTTAGGGTTTAGGGTTTAGGGTTTAGGGTTTAGGGTTTAGGGTTTAGGGTTTAGGGTTTAGGGTTTAGGGTTTAGGGTTTAGGGTTTAGGGTTTAGGGTTTAGGGTTTAGGGTTGTCCAAACCCAGCCTAGAAGTACCCGTGGACTAACAAGCTCAGGAAGCTTTCGGGGGTTCTTCGGACCTCTTTTTTTGCAGCCGGCCTGGCATCGGTGCAGGCGATTAAGTCGGGGATGCCAAGCAAGGCCCCGCCATCCGCTGAGAGGCGGTGGGCCCTGGCAAAGAAGCCCTCGGCCTGCTTCGGGAGGCCCATGCCGAAGGGGCACCTGAATGCTGTGAGCTTGCAGGAACCGTAGCGTGTCCTAAGCCCCCACCCCCCCCCGGAAACTTCAAGTTGAGCCCAAAGCTTCAAAAACAACAGCGTTGGGCCAGAAGGCTGCCTTTTTCGGAGGCGAAACGAGTGACGCTGTGCTGCCCTGGCCTTGATACGCTTGCATTCTAGTTTTGTGTGTGGGCTTCTGGAAGTTGGCGCGGGTGGTGATTTGGTGCCATCTCATCGGCTGCCCCCAAGTTCTTGGTCAACAAACCCCACGAACTTGACCAAGAACACTTGATTCCTAGACCGGCCTCCCCAATTCCAACGAAAAAGGAGGGTTTAGGGTTTAGGGTTTAGGGTTTAGGGTTTAGGGGTTGCTTGAGGAGCCGGCTGTAGACCCTCCACGCACGGCACGCAGACAAGCCAGTCACCAGACAGCATCAGGAAGGTGTCCTCTCGGAAGCATCACGAGAAGCGGTTTAGGGTTGAGGGTTTAGGGCACATGGCCAGAAAGCTACCTTCAGAAATTTCATGCGTCGTCTGATAAGTAGGTTTCTAAGTATGGTCACCATACTTCCAAGCCTATTAAGGGTACTTGCCGACTTAGAAGAATTCTGAACGAAACCCTAAAACCTAAACCCTAAAGAACCTCCAAGTACCTTCACAATCTCGGAGCACCGGACTATGCCCGAGAGCCTCGGGACAGCCGCAGGCGTCCGAGGAGGTGCTGGCCACTTCGGCCGTGGTGCTGCCTCTTGAAGGGTTCTTAAGGGAGGGGTTCAGGGTTTAGGGTTTAGGGCTTAGGGTTTAAGGGTTTAGGGTTTAGGGTTTAGGGTTTAGGGTTTAGGGTTTAGGGTTTAGGGTTTAGGGTTCAAGGCGGGGTATGTAATCCAAGGTTCCCAAGGCTCCCGAAGCTTCCCTAAGGTTGCCGAGGTACCTACCCCCCCTCTTCGGGGGCATCAGTGAGCCCCCCCATAAACCTAACATGTTATGATAACATGTGATGACAGTATCAGTATACTATGCCCTTATTGGATATACGTATTTTAGACATTCATTCAGAAAGAGAAAAAAAACCGAAGCAAAAAAAGATCGCGTCTCTGGGGGGGAGGGGGGGGGGGGAAACTCCAGGGGGGCCTGCAGCTCGACCCTCGCAGCTCAGGCAGGATGACCTTGGAGGTGGTATAGGGTTTAGGGGTTTAGGGTTTATAGGGGCTTTGGGGTTTTGGGGTTTAGGGGTTTAGGGGTTTAGGGGTTTAGGGGTTTAGCGGTTTGGGGGTTTGTGGGTTTAGGGGTTTAGGGGTTTAGGGGTTTAGGGGGTTAGGGGTTTAGGGGTTTAGGGGTTTAGGGGTTTAGGGGTTTAGGGGTTTAGGGGTTTAGCTTCTGATTCCGGTTTTCAGGGTTCTGTTCTTTTTTGTTTTGTGGGGGGGGGGGGGGGTGGAGGTGCGGGGAATGCTTCTAGGGGGGGACGATGGCCTGCCGATGTCTTGTGGCGACCTCCCCCACAAAACCATCCCCAAACCCCACCAAGAAAACCCCTCTGGCCCCCCCCCCCCCCCAACATCTACTGCAGGTCCTCTGTGCCGACCTGGGCACTGCCCGGTCTCGCTTTGCCACGCGCCGCGCGGGCAGAGGGTGCAGCCGATGGCCGAGGTCTCGTTGGCAAAGCTGCCGGGCCGGCACGAGGTGCAAGTAGCCTGGCCTGCGCTGCATGGGGGCACGTGTTTTGACGTCGAAAAAATTCAACCCTTAGATCTTAGTTGTCCAGTAACCTGGGGGAACTAAAGGTTAACCTTTGGGATTGTAAGGGGATTCTACTACCCCGAAAAGGTTAAAGGTTACCTACTCTACTACTAGGAGGCCCTTTGTAGCAGCAGGCCTTATGAGGCCTCTCTTTACTACTGGTATTTCCGTTTCGCTTTCCTCTATAGCTCCAAACCCTGAACCCGGTTGGCATTTTCTGAGACCCAGTGCCTTGCTCGTCCTGCGCCAGGTAGCGCCCAAGCCCACAGCCCTCACAGGACTCCTTGCCGTGCGGAAGCCTCGTCCCCTCTGAGCACTTGATCCTGATCAAGGCCGGGGAAGTACTTTCACTCGAAAAGGTGGTCGAGGCGGCATCACGAAGCTGTCCACCAGGATTGATGGACACTGCGATCGGAAGCTGCTCGGAAAATTCGCCGAGCAAGACAAGGCGAAAGGCTTGCCCACCCTCCTCCCACGAGCCACCGATGATACTTGAGCCGGTTGGCATGTTGGAGAAGGACAGTAAACGATCAATTGCTGCTGGTGTGTGTACATCGGGCATGTTGGTTGGCTTGTTGAAGACCAGCCGAAGCTCGTTTGACTCGGGCAAGTGCTGGAAGCTTGTGATCTCGGGCCCACTTTGAAAGACATGCATTACCAGCTGCCCGAGACCCGATTGTTGAGAGGCACAGAGGCCCAAGGGATCGCACGCATCATAGAAGATGTCCACATCGCGACGGCCGCCAAGCAAGTCACAGAAGCGAAGTAGGCCGGTAGTAGGCTCCAAAGAAGCGTTGACGTCTGTGCCCGTTGATGGATGCAGGCTAAATGTGAGTGCATCGCCATCAGCGTCGGAACCCTGCAGCTTGACATCCGCACAGCCACGCTCGCTCATGCTGCGGTGGAGCACGGAACCTTTGATCGGAAATGGCGACTTGACTTGGCTTACCGCACCGGAGCCACCCAGCATGGATTCCATGAAGGGGAAGCGGTTCCAAGCACCATCGCTGGTCCGAGCCGTCTTTACACTGAGGGCTGAGCACTCGACCTGTACTCCCCTTAGAGCCTTAAAAAAAATACTAATTTTGGCATCCTCTTAGGGGTTTAGATGAACAAAACTAAACAAAACTAATTCCCAAGCAAAATATAGCGACATCGTGCACCAGGTTTTGATACTCACAGGCACCCTCGTCGTTGTCGAAGGTATAGTGAAGAAGCAGATCATTCTCCCGGACCTCGTGGCCCGACACGACGGCCTCAACTTCAGACGATGTCAGCTCCTTGGTGGCCCAGTAACCACATTACAATAAAGGGCACCCTTCTTTGGGGTTGGTTATTTCATAAGGGAACCCCTAAACCCTAAACCCTAAACCCTAAACCCTAAACCCTAAAAAAAAAGGGTAAAGGGTACCACTGGGCTGCCAAGGCTCCGCCTGGAAGACCCGGAAGTCATCGAGGGCACCCCGGAAGAAGTTCGAGGGCACAACAAACATCCCAGGCAAATGTGCATCCTTGGGAGCTGTTGTTTAGGGTTTAGTGTTTAGGGTTTAGGGGTTTAGGGTTTAGGGTTTAGGGTTTAGGGTTTAGGGTGTTTAGGAGGAAGTCTGACATGGGCGCAACTATGAATCTCTATCTCCCAGGCCCAGATTGCCACACTCAGAACAAGAACCCCCAAACCCTAAACCCCAAACCCTAAACCCTGAACATTTTTTTCGCAAAAAAAAACAGACACCAAGAATCGGAGGTCGAAGGGTCGTACTCGGAACCCAGCTCCCATGGCGTGATGCTGAGCTCATCTTCAACGCCACCTGGGTTTGAATCGCACTCCACGGGCCACGGGGGCATTTTCCCCCATTTGCCCCCCCCCCCCCCCCTCCCCCTCTCTCTCTCTCGCTCTCTCTCTCTCTCTCTCTGCGTTCCGCGCTGGGACGCTTGCACCCCCGAAGAAAAAGCACCGACGTGACAAATCCAATGTTGATTGTAGGGTGCTTAAGGGAGGGGGGGGGGCTCAAGCGTGGGTATGTAACCCAAGGTTCCCTTTTAATACACCCCACTTCGCCCTCAAACCCTATAGAAATTGAAGATCCAAGCTGCAGCCGGGCACGCATGGGCCGATGTCATCCGACTTTGCGAATTGCTTGCCGTTGCGAAAGGCCGCAAAGCGCAGCCGGTACTCCTCGCCTGCAACAGGCAAGCTGCGAACCAACTTGCTTTTTGCCACCTGCCTCGCTGGGCCTCTCGGAACCAGTTAGGGCTTTTTTTGCCACCCGACTAGCCACGGCATTGCGGGGTCCGTCTGGCTTTACGCTCAACGGAACGGGTCGCCAAAGGCCAACATGGTCGGACCATTTAATTCGAATTCATAGGAAGAAATCAACCAATTAGGGCTTCGGGTTTAGGGCGGAAATGAGCAAGAATCTAAGCCCTTGCCAGGACTTGAGTCAGTGGACGTTGCGTTGGTCCCGCCCAGATAGTGTCACAAACGTGTCACAACTGCTAGCAAGGAACTATCAATTTGCAGGCGCTACTGTTCATCTCGTTCCCGAACTACAAAGCGGTTGTTTGTCATCAATCAATAAGCGAAGGAGTGTGTGCAAGCGCGCCGCTGCCACACAGACTTCCGACAAACTGTTGTGGGCGAAGCCGAATCAAGGCCCGCCGTCCTGTTTGGCCGCCGCACGGATGCAGCCTCGACCACTTGGGCTTCACGGGGTATCGCTGCTGGTCGCGCTCAAGGGACCCAAGGCGAGAGCATCATCCACCCTTCGTTTCTGTTTGGGGGTTGGGACGAGCATCAGCAGCACCAGCAGACGGGAGGGCTTCTAGTGCGCCCACCCTTACTTCACGCACGCTGACGTGCTGAACATCGGCCTACTTGCACATAGATCTGCCTTGACATAGATGCGCAACGCATGCATTCGCCCATGATCTGATTTGACAAACAAAAAAAGAAGTGCAGCTCCTGATGGGACACACTTCAACGAAACCGCCAGATGATGTGCTTCAAATAGTCCAGCCCGGATTTGCTTGGCAGTCAGCCCGGTCTCCAGCACGTAGCTATCGTCCGGCTCCACGGGAAAGCTCGTAAACGCAATCTCTCCTAACAGCACAAAGGAGTAGGGGCAGTGCAGATAATGATGTCATGGGTTCGGGAACCTCAACAATCACACTCACAAGCTCTCTCACTTGCGCTGGTGTCTGCACAAGGCAAGAATCACCACTGATGAGCGCTCACTTCCATGGGACATGCAACCCTGCAGCCGAAATCTGCCCGTGCAATGGCTTTGCGCTTTCAACTTCCTGCTGAGGGGGAGACCATCGTTAGTTGCAGCAGTTTGCTTGTTCACAGGTTCCCACGACTGTGACTTGAAAACCCTCCGTGATCAACTTCTTGCCCTTAAGCTGCAATATGGAGGCTTCATGGCTTCATGACAACTGTGGTACTGTTCGCAGAACAGGCAAGCCTTCAAGCGGCCCCTTTGCATGAAATTCTTGAACGAGCACGGGAGGTGCTGAGAAAGAAATTGAAAACAGCCCCAGCCGGGAACATTCTACATGTCAAACACGGAGGTTTAGGGTTTAGGGTTTAGGGTTTAGGGTTTAGGGTTTAGGGTTTAGGGTTTAGGGTTTAGGGTTTGGAGCGCTCCGGCCTCTGCAAAACTCCTTGAAGGCCTTTATATGTAGCTTTACGAAGTCAGCTACAAAGACTGGATTTCGACTCCGCTATGAAAAAAAGTAATTAGAGGCTTTTCAACTCTTAGGAGTTCCGAAATCCGCGACAGCCATGTGGACGTTGCTGTATCTTGCAGATACTGTTGGTTATAACCCAGTGCTTCCACTGTAAATGCACCCGCAATCTGCACCCGTTTAGGCTCAGGGCGCAATTTTCAAGACCTTCCGATCCTCAACGGCCTGTGCATACAAGACCTGAATCCACCGCAGGCCCCGCCTCCACATCGCCAAGCGAAGATGTAGTTTTCTCCCTTCAGATACAGAAGCAACCGGTTGGCGCCAGTGACGGTGTGGCGGCTGACGATGATCGCATCACCAGCCACCGAGTCAGGTTTCAGCCAGATGGCGATGGAGAGCTCGCCCCGCGCAAAGAAAGGAGTGTGACCCAGCAAGGCATACCCAGTCCGTCCGTCTGTTCTGATGGCCATCGCAGAGCCAGCCACCGGGGAGCGGTTGTCGCGCACCCTCACGTGCAGCGCGCCTTCCCTTTCCAGGACTAGACCTTCATGCTCCGCACGGACGTGGAAACGGACATGATCGAAGCCTGGCCGCTCCGGCAAGTACGACAGCTTGCCACACAGCTGTAAGCCTTCAGAAGAGCGATTTTCGGAGAGCTGAATTGCGAGAGCTCCGCTTGCCACACCTGGCTTTCCCATGCAAGCACGAAGAGTCCGTCACAAGAAAATGCGAATATAGGGGCCTTAATAATTAGAAAAGGGTTTTGGGGGACATGACAGTATATTTATAAAGGAACCATATGGGAATCCTATGAGCAATTCTTCCGAACCCAAAAACCCACGAACTCTCAGATCCTGGTCAACTTCAGCCCCCTCCCGCCTGGCGCTTTGAGAATCCCAGTGGAGAGGCCCTCCGGAAAGGTTGCGGTGGCGAAGACTTCTACGAACTCGTCGAAATGGGCGCAGATCTCCACATCCTGCCAGCTGTCACCTGCTTAGTTGTTCAGGAACCTGGGGGGAACTAAAGGTTAACCGTTGGGATTCTAAGGGGATTCTACTACCCCAAAAAGGTTTAAAGGTTGCCTACTCTACTACTGGGCCTGGAAGAAAAAGCAAAGGGCACCTAAAGCACAGCACCTGACTTCTTACTTGGAGGTTCATTCGGGTACTCATAAGTAGGGTTATGATACCCGAGATAGGGTTGGAAGTATATGGTAACTACTTATAACCTTCAGGAACTTCCAAGTAAGCTGACCACCACGCGCATTTGCACACCCGCATTGAAACCCAAGCCATAGAACCCGGGGGACGACATATCGTTTGATAGGTCGCCGGGCTTGGCAACCCGTTTTTGCAGCAGGCTTAAACCCTAAACCCAAAACCCTAAACCAAACGGGCATCCATTTATGGCTTTCATTTTCAGGTACTTCATATGCGATGATATACTACAATCATTTAGGATAATACAAGCGAGCATCCTAAATAGAAAAGGACGCACCAACCTGCAAACCCGCTGCCTGGGACCCCTCTGGGAGACCCTCCCCCCTTTTTCTGCTTCCCGAAGCCCACCACCTGAAGTTTCTCTGGACGCAGCACCAGGCGGCTCATGCAATTCTCTTTGGGGGGGGGGGGTTTAGGGTTTAGGGTGTAGGGTTTAGGTTTAGGGTGGGCCAGCGCCTCTGAGACCTTTGTAGGGGCCTTCTCTGGGACCCTGTTGCCCTCGACCCACCACCTTGGACCCACTTGAAACTTGAAAAGGTTCCCCCTAACCCTAAAACCCTAAATCCTAAAAACACTAAACCCTAAAAAACAGCTCCTGGGTGTCTCTGAGTACGGAGTAGTGTGGGAAAAATGAGTAGCGCTATTATAGTTCAGCAGAACATCTACACAAAAACACAGCATGTCAATCCTGCCCCGGTCTCAACGTGCACACCAAGTGGCCAAGTCCCACATCTACGACTGTCGCCCCACCATAGCCTTCCACTGCTGAGGGTTTAGGGTCGGGGGGTTTCTGGGCTTGTGGTTTAGGGTGTGGGGGTTTGTGGCTCAGGGTTTTGGGTCCATGGCGTTCCAGGATCAACGCCGTTTTCAACCGCAAGATTTCTGTGCACCTAGCATCGGCGCAGCTCCGCAACCGCAGGCAACTGAACCACGCGCGCAGGCGCGCACGCGATTCTTCCTGTTCCGATTGCAAAAGTGCCAACCTTCAACCTCGGAACCCTCAAACCCCAAACCCCAAACCCCAAACCCCAAACCCTAAACCCTAAACCCTAAACCCTAAACCCTAAACTTCCTAAACCCTAAACCCTAAACCCTATGCGGAGCTGCAACTTGTATAAAAGGTAGTATTGGAAGGGTTATGGAACCCGCTGTTTATATGGCTCAAGGATGGCCAGTAACAGAGGCCTTTTCGTGAAAAGAGTTGGGGTTGGTTCCTAGGTGCTTAGGCATAGGCCCCCTTTACTCCCTTCCTTGGTTCTCCTTTCTCTCCGTGTTCTGGGTGTGTCTTTTGGTTCGGTCTGGGGAATATAATTTCCGGGCGATCAGTGGGGTTGATCCCTTTACCTCTTTGGTTGCCCCCCGTAGGTTATGAGCCCAAACGGTTCCCTGCGGTAAGTTGTTTTCGTTCAGGGCTTGGTCTAAAGAAGCAATGTCTTCATCCAAGCAATGGCTCCAAACCCCTGCGAATGGCGCTGACAATGGTGGAGCTGAATTGGGTGCAACTGGTTTTCCTGCTCAAGAAGTGGTGCTAGAAGCAACGGTGCCTGGTGCTACGGAGAAACAGCTGGAAAGATCAATAGTTGCTGGAAGCCCCAATGAGGGTATGGGTCCCAATGTGGACAGGATTGACGATGCTGAAGGTGAAGGACAAGCCTTTTCTGTGCCACCAAGGGCTGGAGAAAAGAGGCCCTGGGATGAAGCTGGTGATATGGACCATGGGTTAGAAGCGACCGTATTACGTTGGAAGATGAGGCATGGTTTTCAGGGGTCGTCTTCGTCTTCAAGTCAAAGAATGATGGTCAGTCAGGAAACGCAGACAGATCTGACTGGAGAAATGTCACAGGTATCCAAAAAGTCTCAGAACAAGATGAAGGAAGATTCCTCGGTGAGTTCCATGGGTGGTGAAGGCGGTGACAAACAAGAAAAAAGAGGTGTAGACAGTTTTGAAGCAGCACCTACTGCTGAATACGCCATGGACGAGGAGGAGATTCTGGAGATGGAGGCTGAAAGGATACGCCAGTTGTCTGAAGAGGCTGATGAGATGCGCCAAGTCTCTGAAGAGGACGGTTTTCGGAAAGACGAGCGTCTGATCTAAGCGTGTGATGGGACAACATGGGAGTGGCATCTCCACGAGGATGGGAGACAGTACTATTACTGCCTGGATACGCAGGAGAGCAAGTGGACACTGCCGGAGGTGGGTGAAAAGATGGTAGGGGACAAGGTGGCTGATTCTCCTTCTGGCAATGAACTGGAACCGGGGGCTGCGCTGGGTCCTACAACGCCTACACCGCCAGCTGAGTCCATAAGGGCGTTTCAAGGTAGCGTAGATAGTGCTGTAGAAAGGGAATTTTCCTCTATCATCGGGGATAGCGGTCTAAGGGGTGGTGAAGCTCCTGGGACCTCGGGTTCTCCAGAGGAAGATGAAATTTCTGGATTGCAGATGAATATGGCTGGAGAGCACCTGGATCAGGAAAAGGGCAAAGCGCTTTCTGAGGGTGACGCAGCAGTAAAACCTGTGAGTCCGGACAAGATGATTCCCAATGTGGAAGGGAGTGGTATTTCAGCTGCGGAAGAGTTGGTGGTGGATGGAGCGTCTGGCAGTCAGGAGGTTATTCCTGAAAAAGAAATTGGGAACAACACACTGGATGTATCGGTTGATGGAAGTTCCTCATTTATTGCCAATGCAACCACTGTCCAAGAAAAAGGTGAGTCTTCTGGAGTAGCTGAGAATACTGTTGATCTGCCTGACAAGAGGGAAGAGGCAGGAGCCTGGAGCACCAATGAAGTGCGGGCCAGTGTGCCGATGAAAACCTGGAGTGCGGATGGAGCACGGGTTGAGGCGCATGAGGTTTCATGTTCCGCGGATGACTGCAACAATGGGGCGCAGGTCTCCGTAGTAGCCAACGATGGAGGTTCACAGGTGGACGCACCAGTGCAGCCTGAAGTTGGTGGCGTGGAACAAAATGATGAAGGTCACACCGGAGCCAATGGAGCAGCTGTGATGGATGGCGGTGAATCTCCCTTGGTAACCATGGAGCCAAAGGATCCTACAGTGGAAGAGAGTGTGCCTGCTGTAGATGACAAGCCAAAGGATCCTACAGTGGAAGAAAGTATGCCTGCTGTAGATGATAAATCAAAGGACCCAGTGGAAGGAGGTCTCTCCAATGAAATGGAGATTGCGCCGACTGGTGGTTTGCTGGAAGTCGACACCAAGCAGACTACAACAGGAGAGGCGGAGCCGTTGGCTAAAGCTGAAAATATGGTGGAAGCAGGGGGTGTACAAGGACCTGAAGAAAGTATGCCAGCTTCTGTAAGGAAGAAAAGTGAAGTACCCAATGAGGTACTCCCCGCTTCACATGGCAAACGCAGCTATCAGAAAGGAGATACGCTCGATGGAACTGTTTACCGCATCACTGCAGAGGGAGTTTATTTGGACTATGAGGATCTGAATGTGCTGATTCCTGTGAAAGGGAAAGACGCGAGTCAGTTTTGGATCGGTGATACAGTCCAAGCACTGGTGCAGGAAGTAAAAGAAGATGGTACCTTAATTTTGGACACCTACCTGGAGCTGGAAGATGATGTGAATGAGGTCGCTTCCACGGAACTGCGCAAATGGAAAAATAGTAGTTCAGGTATGTGGTGGAATGATTCTTGGTATGATGGTCAATGGGACCAAAAATCCTCCTACGGTCAATGGAACTGGACGGAGGAAGAGTGGCAATGCTATGGGTGGTCTGCCAATGAATGGGTATCTCCTGAAGACTGGGAGGAAGGCGTTCAGAAGCAGCTCTACGGCGAAAGAATCTATCGAGTGCTTCTTGGTAACGCACTAACAGACAAGGAATATCTTGGCAAGATCACTGGGATGTTGCTAGATCGCCGCCTGGAAGAAGTGAAAGAGCTGGTGGCAAACTCTGCACAGATAGAAAATGAAGCTCATGGAGCCTATAATGTGTTGCTGAGTGAGGGTTGGACACCCGATGGTCAAGAAGATGCAGGTTGGAAAAGAGGGAGTTATTCCCGGGATCAGTATCACAACGCCCTATTTGACCTGGCACGCCAAAGAAGGATGCACAGCGAGGCGGCTACAGGTGAGGCGGTTGCAAAGATCATGGACAAAGGGGATGATGAGTTTTGGTACGAATTGCGGTTGGATTCACTGAAGTTTTTGCAGGAACTCGATGAAATGGTTGAAGCTATGCGGCAGAAGGAGGGAAGACCAATAGAGGATTATTTGGATCCCTCAAAGGTTAAAAAGGTTTACTTGACGCCAAAACCTTTGTCGAAAGGGTATACCAAACTGTGCAGGTTCTACAACCAAGGGACCTGTCGCAATGGAGACGAGTGTACCTATGAGCATCGTCGCTATGGTGAAGGGTGGCCAACAAGATGTCCAGCTGAATCGGAGACCAGCAATAATGCCGGAGATGAGGAGGGGGACATTGGAGGCCCTCCAACTGATGAAGGAGTGGTGGACGATGCGCAAGAGGAGCGGGAGGATGCAGCCTTCCGTGCCAAGTTCAATTTTGGCAAGGGCGCGTCAAAGGGTGGGCCTACATTGGTTGAGTCAAAGAACAGCTGTGTTTGTATTATGGAGCCAAGGGTGATGGCTGTAAATATGGATTTGCCTGCAAGTTCGTTCATGATGACAATGCTGTCCTAGAAGGGACTCGTGAAGCCGGCAAGTCTTGGGACAATGCTTCCCGAAAAGCCATCCGGGATGCAGGCTTCCATCATGTCTGTTACGACTTTTACCTCAAAGGGAGATGTCGTTTGAAAACAGGCTGCCGATGTTCCCACGACGAAATGTCTCCTGATCGACTGGCTCAGTTGCGTTACTTGGTGCATGTGGCAAACCAAGTGAGATATGCGCAGGACAGAGGAGACGAGATACCAGACCGCAACAGCTTCAAGCCGCCTGCAATTTGGGGAACCGCATCCTCATCGTCCTCAGCACCGCAAGCGTTGCAAATGACCAATGTGTCAACACAAGAAATTGAGGGTGATGCTACGCTGGATGGAGCAGAAGAACAGGGGGACGATGTACAAAAGGATTCGGTAGCAGAGTCTACCACTGTGCCGTTTTTGGACCCGAAGGAGCCGATTGAAAGCTGGATGGCTCGCAACAAAGAGCTGTGGGTCTACACTCCCCATGTGAGGCAGGTAATGTTCGCTCTCGGGGTGACCAAAGTCAGGGAGCTTCAGGAATATATCTACGTGGAAGATCTGATGGAGAAGGGAGTCAAAAAAGTGGACGCCTGCAAGCTTCTGAATCTGGTGGGTGGTGTCCGATACCGGCCAAGGTCGCCGGAGGTGGCTGTTTCTACCAATGCGTCTGTACGCGTGGAACAATCTTCTGGAAGCCGCGAAGCTGGAAGAGGTACAGCGAGAACCATTTCGCAAGTACGTGAAGCTGAAGGTCACGGTGCAAAAGAGATGCCGCGAGGGTCCTATCGGGAGATCTTCGACAAAGGCAGGTACCGCGACGCTTGGACGCTTGAGCAGAGGTCTCCGTTGTGCGTACAGAGGTTGCAGTTGGTGGGAGTTGGAATGCCACCGGTGAACCCGCCGAACAAAGGGTATAGATCAAGGTCAAACCCCGTGAAGAGGGGGCGACCACTGTTGAATCGAAAGCAAGTACGAGATGTGCCGCGTTCTTATTCAAATCGGCACAGGAGGGCAACGGAGCCCGTGGACAAGCCAAAGCCGTTGCAACCTCTTCGTGGTGGCTTGTCTTTTCGCTTCAGCAAAGCATGGGCAGATGTGGAGGACGATGACGATCAAGCGGGAGCTTTGGTCTCCTATGCTGAGTCCTCTGGTGAATCTAGTGCAGAAGACGCCAGCGAGGCGCGGCGGTTATGGCAAGCCCTTTTGCAAGAAAGGGAATTGAAGAGAGCCAAAAAAGGTGGCAATGTTCCACATGAGGGTTCTCAAAGCTCCAATGACGGGCATAAAAAATCAACTGTGCTTGGCGAAAAGCGCGACAAAGCGTCGCGGGGGGACCCGCCAAGGTTTTTCAGATTTTTCGGTGTCAGCGTCTTCACAACAAAATGTTGCAGCCTCTAGTGGGACTGTGGATGGTCCTGTTATTCGTGGTTCGCTGGCGGTGGGCTCCACAGATGAGGTTCTACCTGGGCAAGGTGTTGCTGGACAGGAGAATGTGTCTGAAAGCGCTGAAGTTCGACCTGGGCAAGATGATGCTGGACAGGGGACGGCGTTAGAGGGAGCAGTACACGTTTCTGGCGATGAGACTGAGCAACAGGTAGGTGAAGAGAGGAGCAATGTTCTCCACGCTGACCAATTGGAACGAAGTGGTAGCGCCGAAACAAGCAGGGATGGGAACCTGTCGTTGTCAAAGGGCGTTCTCCAGAGGATCTATGAGAAGATCTCTGGAGGAAAAGTATCAATCCAGAGGAAGGAATGTCCGAGAGGGCTGAATAAGATGGACCGGAATTTGGTCATCAGTGCTTCTACGGATGGCTCAGGCGAGGGGGAGTTGAGCCTCGCGCTGGTGGAAAGCCCAAGTCCTTCAATGGTGAGAAACCCAGCACCGCTGATGTTTGGTGATCCTCATGTGTTGATTCAGTCACAAACAACTCAATGGGTTATGCGTCGTGGTGTGACAGATCGTGCAATATGGGGTGCAATAGCTGCGTCAGCGAGAAAAAAATTTGTGCTGAAATGGTTGAGGTGGATGTGATGAATGTCCAGTTGGAAACTGGAAAACTCCTTCTCCAAAGGAGAGAAGAAGGTCATTATGGTAAATTGCATCATCCGTTTCATGACAATCCATGCTTGCCGCCGGTGGGTAATTTCCCGCTCTCAGTTATGGGAGTTTTGCTATCCCCAGATTTACGACATGAGTTTACCAATGCAGATACCTTCGGAACGGCAATGGAGGCAATAGCCTACGATTGGAGCCGCATTCCAGGTATGGAAGACCACATCAACCTGATGGTTCGGGTAGCAACACTGGTACATCCATTTATTCTCCTTGGTGGCCAAGGGACTGTGGTGAATACAGAATTTCTCTGGCAAGCTGGAAGGGATCGGTTGATGGAATTCCTTCAAGCAGCTACGTGTGCTGATGAATTGGAGGAATGATGGAAACACATGGATGAGGATGATGAGGAGGTGGATCCGCTGGGGTGCGTGCTGGAAATCTCTGGACATGATGAATCGGTTTTGAATTCAAGTAGTGATGAGACTCCTGTTGTTCCTGCTGGTATCAACGTAGAGACGAGCAAAGAAGAAGCTGCTGGCAAAGCGCCGGAAATTTCCCCTGAAGAGGAGGCGGCCGATAGTTCATCGAGGCTAAGCGCCACAAGGTTGTTCCTGCAAAGGATTTACTCAAGGTTATGGGAGCCTGCACTTCAAGATCGACAGACTGGGAAGATTTTTGACAGCACGAAAGGTTATCCTGGTGAGGGGCCAAGAAGTGGTGGTCCAGATCTTCCTACAAAGGAAATGCCCTGGATTCCTGAGGATCATCTTGACATGGTGGTTGCAAAAAAGGCCGACCAGTCCTCAGATCAGGGAGAAGAAGGTTGTTTTGGGTTGGAAAGTGGACGTCAACCTGAACCGGTTGTGGTAGAAGCTACTGCTACCGAGAAAATCCTTAGGGCTCTTTGGTGGAAAGGATATAGAGCCGGGTATAGGAGGTTGTGTCGTGCAAATGTATCTGGACCCAAAGTTGGAGCGATAAGTTTTCCAATCAAAGCGGTGCGGAAGGCTGGCGTCACAAAAACCCTTTTGAAGAAGCCAATCATTCGTGGATCAGCTCAGCATGGCTCAGGAGCTGGTGGGAAACCAATCATGAAGGTGGTAAGACCAAGGCCAGGTTTTCCCGCTGTTCTAGATACACCAAAAACTGATAGCACATTGGGTGAAGAAAGCAGTTCTCAGGGACATGGCAATGTTCATGTAGAGCAGAATCGCCCCATGGAACGTTACGAAGCGGAGCGCCTAGAGAAGAGGAAGAGAGGCATCTGCTATTGGTTCAGGAGGGGAAAAGATAGCTGCAAATTTGGTGAGAATTGCAAATTCATCCACTCAAAGGATGATGTGGTGCTACAATCATATTGGTGTAAATATTTCGTGGCTGGGAGACACTGCTTCTCTGGTGAGGACTGCAAGTTTTCGCACGATGCAGCTGGTGTAAGGTGTATCCAGTTTCATCAGTCTGGGAGGTGCCGTCATGGTGACAGGTGCGTCTTCGAGCACGGTGATCCTTTGGGTGGAAAAAGGCCAAGGTCTCCTGGGACGCCCCCGATGGACAGCCCAAAAAGGTGCACCGGTCAAAAAGATGATGGGAGAAAAGGCTCTCCTGAACGGTATGACGAAGAAGAAGAAGATCATATGGTGTACGATGATGTCACGAAGATAATGGAACTGTTAATGGAGGCAGTTTCATATATGTCTGACGGCAAGTCAGATTTGGCCCGCGCGGAAGCGGACCCGGTGTTCAAGCTCCTAAAGTTCACGGGCGATGCTGAACAGATGGACGCCGAGTGGTGTTCTTGGACATCAGGTATGTTGACGCCATTGGAACTTCTCGAGATAGTGAAGTCACACGAGACTTCACTGGAGGAGGTCGAGGAGTGGATCAATGAGTTGAGGATTCAACGCGCTAACCTTGAAGAAGGGAGCGATTCAAAAAAGGGCAAAAGAGGTCCCTGGAAAGGGAGTCCAGTAAGGACACTCCTGCTCAAAAAGAGGTGCCGGAAACCTCAGAGACAGAGGTTATCGTGGACGAGGAGATGAGAAAGACCAAAAAGAAGAGGAAGACTGCTGTCATTGATGATCCTTATACTCTTCTGGTTCCAAAGCCCAAGAAGAAGCCTGTGAACACTGAGAAGAGTGGATCGTCATCCAAGGCAGTGGTTTTGGAAGAAGAAAAGCCCTCGTCAAGTATGCGCACCAGGACGGCTGGTTCGAGCAAAGCGCAAAAGAAGGAGAAGGGTCAAAGTCCAAGGAAGAAGGAAGTGGCAAAGGTGAAAGGTCCTGAAGCAAAGGATCGCTCCTCTGACGTGGATGCACAAGCGTCTGCTGCGGTGGATGCGGAGGTGGAGCAATCCTGTCAAGCGATTGAAGATGCAAAGAGAGAGGGGTTGATCTCCTCGATTCAGAGGTGTATACTGGATCCCGTTCTTACTGTATCGGACCTGGAGCATGTTTTGCTACGTCTTCATCTAAGCATCGACGCCAATCGGAAGAAGAAGAAGTCAGTCATGACTGGATGGTGTGAATTGATGCTGGAGTGGTTTTTCTCTTTCTGAATACAAGTGCGCTGGAACAGCCAATGTGCTGAAAGTATGGTGGTTACTATTAAGAGTTAGGAAATCCCTGACGGTAGAAAGTCTTACCCAATGAGGTTTTGAGAGATTTAATTCAATCGTCCTGGATGACGTAAAACCACTATATGCAAGCCCAAAAAGGGATGCGACGTTTGTGGAACGTCTAAAAAATAGCTGGCTGCTGTCAGGAAGAGACAGTTTTTGGCCTGTTTGCAGCATCTCCAAGGTGTCCCAGCAATGTCTGGGACAGGGGGAGTGCGGAGCTGCAACTTGTATAACAGGTAGTATTGGAAGGGTTATGGAACCCGCTGTTTATATGGCTCAAGGATGGCCAGTAACAGAGGCCTTTTCGTGAAAAGAGTTGAGCCCGTGTGGTTGGGATTGGGGTTGGTTCCTAGGTGCTTAGGCATAGGCCCCCTTTACTCCCTTCCTTGGTTCTCCTTTCTCTCCGTGTTCTGGGTGTGTCTTTTGGTTCGGTCTGGGGAATATAATTTCCGGGCGATCAGTGGGGTTGATCCCTTTACCTCTTTGGTTGCCCCCCGTACCCTAAACCCCCAAGCATCCCCAGTCCGCCTGGGAACGGAGACGGGACCCAGGCCGGGGACTTGTACAGGCTGCCGCCGCCCATGACGGCACCAGGCAAGCTGGCCTCGGCTTGCCATGCTGCCCTTTTGGGGGCCTCAGGGGCCCCAAAAGGGCGTCCTCAACTTGGGTTAGGTTTTTTTTGGGGTTTGGGGTTTGGGGTTTAGGGTTTAGGGTTTAGGGTTTAGGGCTGCAATATCCACTGCGAAAATCTGAAGGAAACGTAGTCCCAGCTTCGCCCGGCACCTCGAAGCCGAGCCGTTTGGACAAGTTGGAGTGGGGAAGCTCAGAGTCGAAGAGGAACCTGCAAACACTTTTTTTTTGGGGGGTTTAGGGCATAAGGGGTTTAGGGGTTTAGGGGGCTTAGGGGCTTAGGGGTTTTAGGGGTTTTAGGGGTTTAGGGGTTTTAGGGGTTTAGGGGCTTAGGGGTTTTAGGGGTTGAGGGGTTTAGGGCTCGGGGGCCCGCGCCAACACTTCCCATGACCTTCTGCCAGCTTCGAGGTGGCAAACGGCATCGACATGGTACACATGTTCATCTTGAGGGCATCGGAATGGAGAGCAAGAGTGATAACAGTACGTGGTTGTAGAAGTCATGGGAGGGTTTCCGAGGACAATCTCAGCAGCAACCCGGTTTCTAAGGGCCGTGTCCGTGGTGCTACTGTTTTGGTCTACATAGGGTCTGACAATCAAAGGTCCTGTCAAACTCAATTCTCTGAGGTAAGCTGCTTGTTGCGGAGTACCGGCATTTGCGTACACACTTGCGCTCAAATCAGATGTTCAAGGTGGTGCCACGCGCCTGCAACATGAAGCATGTCATGACACGTAGGGTTCCTGCGTGCGAGACCCTTGAACTCCACCCACCTGCCTGGTGCTGCGAATGTCCTCTGCGCTGCGGACGCAGCTCCACACGCGAAGTTCGTCAATCACCCCACCAAAAGGCCGAGCGTCAGTTACCTGAGCTATCCCTTCAGGACAGAAGGCTCTACCCCAAGCGAGCCAGAATACATACTCAAACACTGTATAAGATTGAATCCTAAATGCTACTGCTGCACAGGAGACAATAGGAAGGTCCGCATTAACATTGCACCACAGAAGAAACTGTGAAGGCAAGGCACGTAACGGCCGCCAACGAAGTCAAAACGCGAGCCTACAAGCCATGGGAACGGGGTTCTCACGTCTTTTATAGCTTCCACGTCTTCTCTGTCCAGCGTGCCAGCTTGCGCAATTTCACCGTTCCTGAGTTGACATTACCATATGGTTGGGACTCACAACCTGGGATTCACAACCCTCGCTGGCGACATATTGTGAGTCAAAGCCAAGATTCATATAAATCACGTAATCACCATCTGAGCTCACGGACATTGCCCAATGGTACATCTCGCCCGGACCAGGGCTGATCGCAAGTACGCTGAGGGCAGCATAAGGCGTGTAAATTGTACGCCCGAGATAGTCCACAGACCTCGCTTGAGGGCGGTGCAAGACATGCGGGCCAACTCTTGCCATTGAGGATCGGATGACTAACTCCTCAAACCACGTCCCCCACACACACAGATGCTTCAACCATGACATGAGCACTAGGTGGGGTCTTTATGGACAGATGATATCCCCACGTGGACACCCCATGTTATACAAACCATAACTAATTAACATCCCAATGACAATGTACCTACACTCACCAACATCATAGCAGAGAAAACCCACCTAACATGCAACGCGGACCAGGCTTAGCTGCAGTATCTGGCTGAACTTCACGGAGGAAAAGCTGATGATGGCCCCGCTGGGATTAAATCGTGACAACGAGATGCCCATTCCATCCTGCATGACTCGAAGACTCTTTGTGCATGCACGGACAACTCGTAGCAAACCTAACCTGCTGATACTGCAGGAGGCGTCTCACACGCATGCCCTGCGTTGCTGACATTGGATGTTGAAGCCCGGTCCTTTAAATCCAGAGGCTGTGCCCAAAACTCAATGGTCAAGGGCAATGTTGGCATATCTTCAAGCACCACGATATCATCTTCCCCATCAAAGCGTAACCCCCATCCAGCTGTTCCAATATGCATGTGCAATGCCGCAACTTCGTAGAGGCTTGCCTCACAGGGACTCTGTACTTGCGGGCCGCTCTATGTTGGTGTCAGCAACCCCAGAAATGCCAAGACGTCCGCAGCAAAACACCAAAGCTTTAGCCCCTAGCAGCTTTGAATCTGGCGAGAAACCGACGGTATCGCTGCCACTACGATACTTTCTTACGCAGCGCGAGCATTTCAGGCGCACGCGGTCATACAGGACTATACCCGGCCCACTCGGGCATACTCGGGTTAAAGGGAGCACCGCATCCAAACTCTCTTTTGAAAGAACCTTGACAAGCCATGAAGATGCTCAAGAATTGACTCCAAACAGACAGGTGTACTCGAAAGGCTCTGTGCTACAGTCATGCCGCCAAGCCACCAGAATGCTCACAACGCGGAAAACCATCGCAGATACCATGGGTCATGAGACTGCACACGACCACGCAACGAAATGTCCCCCCCCGGGTACCTTGGCTTGCTGGTGCGCCGAAAACCGTTCGATATCATGTAATACAATAAAAACTACATATATATATATATACATATATGTATGTTTGTGTGTGCGTGTAATAAAACAAAACGTATAATTTATGCTGAATTATGCATAGTACAGAAGATGGAATATGGAATATATGGGATAATATGCTTATATGTTATCATTATTGTTGATCTTAGTGCTAGTCTTGTTGCAATATTCTTGTTGCAATTATATACCCATTGCATCAACCTCAGCAAATCGCATACAAGAGCCCACAAGAGATGGCTCAGCAGTGGGAATTGAGCCAAAAATCACCTCAAAGGCACATGTGCGAAGGCATACTCTGCGGGTGGACACGCATAGTAAACCACGAGGCCAACACAAATTGCAACAATTGCAGACGGGCCCCATTGCCCGTTCCGATATGCATGTAGGTTGTCTAGTCCAACATCCAAGTACGTACGGGTACCGGTGGCCAGGCTGGTTGGTCAAGAAAAGAGAGAGTTTCCAAGCACCGCGGCGATTTGTTTACTCGACCACTATTTCTGCCAGACCTTGACACTGGAAGCACGCCACATTCATCGCCCATAGGTTCTCCTAATGTCGAGCTCATCTACTGAGCGAAGAAAGTTCATACAGAAAGCAGCGAAAAAGTTAAGATATCATCGTCAGCACGCGTGGAGATCGGCGGCCTACATGGCGACCTCTGCCCCAAAGTTACCTCAACCCGTTCATGGGTGCTTGTCAGTGAGGTCACAAGTGTGGTCGTCTTTTAGCAACCTTCTTTCTTGCGATACTTGTAACCCTAAACCCTAAACCCTAAACCCTAAACCCTAAACCCTAAACCCACTCAAAGAAGTCTCCATGAAGTTCCAAGTACACCTCTTCCTGGGTCCTGCCTCGGGCATCCGGCTTGAGACGCTTCACCTGATGACGCACGTCACCCGCGTGACCGAGTCTTTCAGCAAAACGAGGACTAGGGTTTAGGGTTTAGGGGTTAGGGTGTTAAGAGTTTAGGGTTTAGGGCTTAGGCATTTTAACCGGGGGAGTTCGGAAGCGAGGATAGGACGGGTTGCTCACGGTCATGCTCTGCTGCTTGGGTCAAGTCTGGCTACTTTCAGCGCACCCGGAAAAGACCCTAGACCCTAGACCCTAAACCCTAAACCCTAAATAACGTATCATGCATAAATGGGGTGAGAAATAATTATATCGTTGGGCCGGCCCGGGGGTCCCGGTCTAAGAGTTGTTCAATTATCCGTCCGGGCCCATGTGTCTAAACAGATCTACATCGGGGGTTTAGGGTTTAGGGTTTAGGGCTTAGGGTTTAGGGTTTAGGGGGTCCGATGAGAGTTTAAGGTTTGACAATTGCAACATTGGGCTGGCCAAATGTAGCCTTACTTGCACAGCACATTGCTTAAAGAGCTCAGGGTTTAGGGTTTAGGGTTTAGGGTTTAGGGTTTAGGGTGTTCAATTGCAGAAGCTTTCTTTCATCCGAGCTGGTCTCTTCCGGCGCCTCCGTGAAGCGAGGCTTCTTCAAGCGCGGCTTGCTTCCTGCCGGGGAAGAGGTTAGGGTTTAGGTTTAGGGTTGTTTAGGGTTTAGGGTTTAGGGTTTAGGGTTTAGGGTTTAGGGTTTAGGGTTTAGGGTTTAGGGTTAGGGTTTAGGGTTTAGGGTTTAGGGTTTAGGGTTTAGGGTTTAGGGTTCCTGGTTCCTTGAGTTTTTCAAAAGCTTCGGTGGACAAATGGAAGGAACAAAAAAGGCCGCGCGGACCCCTTTGCTCGGCTGCTTCTGGAGGGCACAGACAGTACAAGTCCATGCTTGCTTGCTGTTGCGGTAGGAGCTCCTTTCCTTGCGTGTTAGAGAGCCCAACGGGGCTTAGGGTTTTTTCACCCGCCTAGCTGACACTCAGGCCACATTGCAGGGACTAATACCGGCAATACTGCTTCTCATCGGAGAGATGGGCGCTTTTAAAGTTAGCGTAAAAGGGGGGATCACTTTGGGGAAGTTGTAGCCTCACATCTGCGGACAAACTCACCACTACATGACCCCATAAAGAACAAGAAAGGTATCCCTTCCCCACGATCCACAGGCCCTTTCTCCTGTGGATCGTGGGGAAGGGATACCTTTCTTGTTCTTTATGGGGTTATGTAGTGGTGGGTTTGTCCGCCGATGTGAGGCTACAACTTCCCCAAAGTGATCCCCCCCTTTTACGCTAACTTTAAAAGCGCGGCTTAGGGTTTAGGGTTTAGGGTTTAGGGTTTAGGGTTTAGGGTTTAGGGTTTAGGGTTTAGGGTTTAGGGTTTAGGGTTTAGGGTTTAGGGTTTAGGGGGCACAGTGGCCCCCGCTGATGAAGCAACGCCCGCTGATGAAGCAACGGAGCGCTGCAGCCCGACGAGGCCATCATGCAGAGCTTGCGAGTGCGTAGGATGTGCATGCAGGTGCTCACAGGCTCACCCCAAACCCTACCTGGCGGCCTCTACCCCTCATTTGGAAGTAGAACC